TTCGAGGGCTAGGAGAGAGGGGTTTAGTTGATGTAGCTCTGTCTGTGGGCCGGGGGATGAGCTTCCTAACCCGGGCTGCTCCGCTGAAACATCCATGGGTGGCTGTGTGGGGAGCCACCACGACTCTACGGGCAGCCTAAACGAGAATTCGGACGGCACTGGAGGTAACTCATTCGGGCTTTTTTTTATGTCTTCGGGTGTCCACGAGCTTGGCTGTTAGAGGAGGGCTTTCCTCCAGGCTTTCTTCATGTTGTTCTGGCTGGAGGTCCTCTCTCCGTCCTTTATATCCGAGCCAGACGGAGCAAGCCCTCCCGACTCTCAGCTTCCACGCAGCGGGCTTAAAAGCGAGCAAAGCCTCCCGATCCGCCTGTTACTTTCTAAATTAGCTGATATTAACGGTGCTGCCCTGCTTCCCTTTGTTCTTTAGTGTTGACTGAGCTAGCCGGCTAAAAGTAGCTAGTTAGCTTGCTAGCCGCATCATCAAATATGGGTCACAGGCTTCATGCAAAAGGTGGGAGGGAGCGCTCACAAGTGATTTAAATTACTGCTAAACTTTCCACGTCTACATATGTCTACTGTTGGAGTTTTAAGTGTGTTTTTTTTAGCAGGAAGGTGAAAGAGTTGTTAAAACTTAATGCTGCAGACTGTCATGAAGGAAGTGTGCCTTTTTTTGGTTGCATTTTGTAAACATGGCCTCTGATCAGTTACTGTGACCAGATCAAAAGACCCCAGAAGAAAGGGTTTATTGGATTTTCTCGGCATGAAACAGTATTTTCCGATCCATTTTCCCCATGTATCTCCTTTTTATGTATCCCCTTTAGTGACTGAGCTGTGCCTAAGTAGTGTTTGCACTGAGGGGGAGGACTATGGAGGGTTTCCTGGTTTGTCTGGTGTGAGGCTGGGATTCATTGCTTGCCTCTGAGTTATTTTAATTAGAGACTGAGATTAATCTGGACATCAGGGAGGAGAATGGACACTTGGAGATGCTCAGATAAAGCTTGATTTCCTGTATGGCTTCTTTGTGCTGACTTAATTTAAACCTGGCTAGATGTCACATTTAACACAACAACTCTTCTCTGTCTTTTAAACCAGCTGTTACTTGACATGTTGTAGCATAGAGACGATAATATGAACAAATTGGTTATGCACAGATAAAAGAAAGTCAGAACCACGTCTTGTGTGGTGTACAAAAGTTACACACTGGCCTAAATACATCACAAAGTATTCTGGGATATCATGCAGGACAGATGTATATATTTTTTAATTGCTGACAGGTGCATTAGCTAGAAATTGGGTTGCTAAACTACTTAATTTGATCACACAGTAATCAAGCAGGTACTGTTGGGAAATACCTGCAGCTAAATAAAGTGTTTAACCCTCTGGAGGCAGGCGTTGCAGATTTGCAACACTTAAAACCTACCTACCTGGTTACTCCACATACGTATTTCATGAGCATTTTTTTTTTTACTCAGAAGTACCCCTGAAGGACTTAGTTGTTCATCCTTTTATGAAAACTTATTTAGAGCCTGAGAGGGTTAAATGTCTTTCTGGGTTATCTGGTCGTTTTTATGCAACTGTTCCATGTTTTGCATCAAATCTGACGACTTCTAGTTTCAGCTTTGTGTGTGGAGACGGAGAGTGTTGTAAATGGGTGCGTTTTGTTTCAGACAATACCATTTCTAATTCATGCACCCTTTTTATATGATCTAGACATGCACTGATTCTGGTTTTTGGGGCGATTCCTTTTTCATCCAAGACTAAACAACATTATCAATCGTCATAAAAAAGTGCTGTTATTTTTGCTAAACTTCAGTCAAACGGGAACGTTTCCTCTTTTAACTGAACCCATTATAAGGTTGAATGCCTTATTTACTATAAACAGTAAAGTTTACTGTTCTCGGACCAGGTCATGTGATCAGCAGCAGGTGGAACTTGACACCTTGCTCCGTCCATCCTCTGTCTCCACGTTTTGTGCTCGGATACAAGCACACACGCTGTCCTGTACCAAATCGTCCTCTCTGCTGCTGATCCAGATGGTGTTATTCATCAGCCGTTCTGCTGCAGATGGAGCAGCCTAACATTTTTAATGGTGTTTATAACATATCATTTCTAGCTTCAGCTCAGCTGAGTGTGTGTGCTTGTTCTGTGTCCTTGATGGCTCAGCTAAGCACCAGATTATTAGTTTTAGTTACATCCTCATTCTTTTAAATGTCTTTCCTTTCAATCTCATTTTAAACTACAATTTTTATCATGCTTTATTCCATCTCCTCCCTTTTTGCTCCCACCAACCCTCAATAAATCTACTGTTTTTCTCTGTCTTTCCCCTTTTATCCCCTCTTCTTCACCCACCTTCTCTGCATCCTGCTTTCCTCAGTCTAATCTTTCTCTCTTGTTGGTACTTTTCAGTGGCTCTTGGGCGTAACCAGCCCCTGAAGAGAGAGCGGCCTAAATGGAAAAGCGACTACCCGATGACTGAAGGCCAGCTGCGCAGCAAAAGAGATGAGTTCTGGGATACGGCGCCAGCCTTTGAGGGCCGGAAGGAGATCTGGGATGCACTGCGGGCTGCGGCCAGTGCCTTTGAGAGTAATGACCACCTTCTGGCTCAGGCCATCCTGGACGGGGCCAGCATCACACTGCCACACGGTAACACACACTACTGTCATGTTGTTACGGATCATTTTTGTCCGGCTCTATCAAATCCACACATATTGGGATGGTTAACAAGTGTGAGCCTCTGTTTCTGTGATCACAAGTCAGACAAGATTGTTGTTAGTAGTTTTACAGCTGGTTATTTGTTAGATTAACTGTCATATGTCACTCTCAGGTTAAAGTATTCACTTCCTCCACCAGACTGCAGCCTTCACCATCATTTGGAGAAGATTAAGTTACCTGTTACCATTGAGAACCTGTCAGAGTAGTGAAGTTTCCATAGGAAGTGAGTTTTAGTAGTTTCAATTGTCATCTGATGTTGAAGTACCACAAACAGGAAGTAATCCTAGCCACATATTTGTATTAATTTCTGCTTAAGTGAGCCGTTGCGCTGCTGTTTTCAGCCTCTCCACTATTATCGACATTTTGGTACATACAATCTAGATAATAAACGTCTGCATTGTTCGGCCTGAAGCTTAGAGGAGTTTAAGGACCTCTTAGTGAATCTTAAACCCTTTTGAGATTGACATTCTGGAATATGTGTGGACAATTCAGTCCAGTTTTTAAACCAGAACTGTGTTTTCAGACACACCACTTTTGTACCGGAACTTGTCCTTTCGGCTGCCTTCACACAGCAGGGAAAAGTTCCAGTTGTTTGGGGGGTCGGACTTATGTTAAGCATAATTCTGCGCATACAAAAACACATAAGAGACCTGGATGATGAAGCTCAATGGTTAAAGGAATCACGGAAGCGGTGTGAGGCGCTCCGTCGCGCGTCTAGACGGTACCGTAGGAGGCAAGCTGCCATGGTTCGCTGCATGCTACAGGAGCGAGCTATCTAGGTGCGCACAGCGTCCCCCAGGCCCCTCTTCCTCCTCCCCCTCCTCCCTGTCCAGAACTCGACCTCGCCAGTCTGAAGCAGCCACCTTGTCCGTAACAAGTCCGGACCTGTTACTAGGGGCGTCATCCGGTTTAATTACGGAAGACGTTATCCGGATGTTTGTATTCAGACACAAAGGTCTTACGGACAGAGTCCTGAACATTTCCGTTTTTCATGGCCTGTCTGAAGGGGGCTTTAATGACTTTTTTTGGAGTTGTGATGGACGGTGCGCACTGCAGAGAAAGTCTATGAATATTAAATGAAAGGGGTGTGTTCTTGGTCTAATGAAAGTAAAACCTAACTAGAAAAATTGCATTTATTGCACAAATGCTGTTTGAATGCTGGATAGCTGAAACTGTAAGCTGAACAGCTGAACTGAAGCTGAAACAAAGCAAAACTGTCAAAATGAGCTGAATGTCTTGAAAGATGTAGAAGCAAAAAGCACCAACAAGCAAATAAAGCACAAAATGTAAGTGAAGAATAGAGAAAAATAATGCTAAATAGCAAAAAAACAAATCTGTGAACATTGTATAAACATCTGGACAGCTTAAATGTCTTAAACACCTGTTATTTCAGTTTGCCAAGTTAAACAGTTTAATCTTTACATTTAGCTGAACTGTGAAATTAGCAGTTTATGCTAAATTTGGTAACTTATTGCTGACGTTGTTGAATAGCTGAAGTAAGCTGAAACTAAGCTAAACTGTCAAATGAGCTGAATGTCTTGAAAGATGTGAAAGCAAAAAGCACCAAGCAGCAAAAAAAGCACAAAAAGTAAGTGAAGAATCAAGAAAACTAATCCTAAATAGCAGAAAACTCAAATCTGTGAACACTGTTTAAAAAAATTGGACAGCTAAAATGTCTAAACACCTGTTATTTCAGTAGGACTAGTTTCACATTTTAATTTTTACATTTAGCTGAACTGTGAAATTAGCATCATATGCTGAATTCAGAAACTAATTGCTGAAGCTGAAACTAAGCAAAACTGTTAAAATGAGCTGAATGTTTTGAAAGATTTAGAAGCAAAAAGCACCAAAATGTAAATAAAGCACAAAAAGTGAAGAACTGAGAAAACAATCCTAAACAGCAGAAAACTGAAATCTGAACATTATTTAAAACCTGGACAGCAAAAATGTCTAAACACTTGTTGTTTGAGTAGGACAAGTTTAACAGTTTAATTTTTATATTTAGTTGAACTGTGAAATGAGTAGCATAAGCTGAATTCAGAAATGGATTGCTGAAGCTGCTGCATAGCTGAAGTGAAGCTGAAACTAAGCTAAACTGTCAAAATGAGCTGAATGAATTTAAAGATTTAGAAGCAAAAATCACCAACAAGTGTAATAAAGCTCAGAATATAGGTGAAGAATGGATAAAAAATGCTAAACAGCAGAAAACTTTAATCTTTGAACATTTATTAAAAACTTGAAATTTGAAAAGTTAAACAGCTGGCATTTGAATGAGAATAGTTTAACGGGTACATTTTTACAATTGGCTGAACTGTGAATTTAGAAATTTTTGCTGATATCTGAAACTGACTGATTAACATATGTTTAGGTTTGATATGGGACGGATGAATGGTTGGATGAATGAAATAACGGATGGATTGTTGGATGGATGTTAAATGGTTTATTGGATGGATGGATGGATGGATGGATGGATGGGTAGAAGCATGTATGGATTCATATGTAGATGGATGGATTCCTTAGGCCAAGCCGATCGATTTGATGTCTCACATGCGTGGGTGTGTAATTCCATTTAGCCAGAAGATGATTGACCTCTCTCAACCAGTCAGGGAGCTGGGAGGGAGCGGGGCACTTTCCCACCTTCTGACAGTCAATCAAATTGAACTTATTTCTTTGCTTTATGACTTTTTTTTTTTGGTATTGTGATTAATGTGGCATTTAAAAGTGGCAATCTTTTGTACCAGGAATGAACTTCACCGCAGGTGTAATAACCTCAGTAACCATCTGTAATTTCAAGCTACAATAGCAAATTTGGAAAACAGATTGGCTTAAAACTGTTTTTCAAGCCTTTTAACAACATTCCAATATAGTATAGCTTTAAATGTACTGAGGTATTTTTTTTGTTATTTTTTTTTTATGAAAAAAATGTATAAGGTGGTTCTCCCGAATTTATCTAAAAACCTGCGCCAGTGACACATTATGAACTGAAAGCAACTTTTGGACCATCCAGTTGTCGATCTCGCCAAACATCTGCACTTCCTTGTGCCCTCCATTGATTACTCACTGATCTGTTTAGCAACCAGAACACCACTGGTGTGAGTTGTTCTCGGCTCAGTAATATCAGAGAAGGAGAAACAGTTGAGTGCTACCACCTCAACTTCAGAACAAACGAGTCCCAAAAAGAAAAACACCATTTGAAGTCATGAACAACAAAAGACGTTTGGACCTAGAAAATGGCAGCTGATGTTTAGCACGCTTTGGTTTCCTCTGGCAATGTGGGTTTCTGGTTCCGGTGGAGGCGGATCCAGCAAAGGGAGGGAGGGGGCGAGTGTTTTGTGACCGTGTTTGCACTCAAAACCTAGCTTGTTTGCTGATTCATTATAACAGTGACACTAAGCAGTTTTTAACACTAACCAATTCCTTTTAATTGGGGTTCAGTGATTGTACCGGTAGAAACTTTTCTAATTTGACATGAGACAGCTCTGTGCAGCCCTCTGCTGACCAGAAACGGCATCTTTATGGAGCAGGTAGGTGACCTTGGGGCGCATTTTACCTGCTTAATGGCTGTTCTATGTCTGTAGCTAATAAAAAAGTCCAGCAGTTAACTTTTTCAGTTCGTCAACTGTCAATGAAAAACACAAGAGGAAGAAAAATAAGAAGTTTGCTTTTGTTGTCATCATGGTGGAGCTTGGAAGTAAAAGTCAGAGACTAATGTCTGTGGAGGCGAACGTCGACATATATACTGGACAATTCGTGTCCATTGGCTCCAATTATACGTTTTTGTACCAAAATGGGAGGTTCCCACCACCGCCATTTTGACCGTGTCACAGGTTCCGTCAAGCCCAGACAATTCCATAAAAGGAAAACGAGGTGGAGCTGAGGGTGGGGCTGTAAGGCTGGGATCAAATAACGACACCCGTCGAACTGAAGCAATGTAGCTACAAGCTAACTCAAAGCTAACGCGGCGGTGGGAGCTAAGCTAATGGAGGTAGCTACCTAGCTACAACCGGAGTTAACTGTGCACAACACCAGAGCTTCTGAGTCAAAAATGCGCCGGGCTGACCGCTGGGTAAAACCGGGTGGAACACAGAGGTCTCCCGAGAGCTCCACAAGCCAGCAGCCACGCACCAGACAGGCGCCGCTGCGATCAGAGATGTGATGAGCTGCTGCTGGGGAGAACCGGGTAGAAAACATCGGTTTCCATCCGAGAGCTCCACAAGCCGGCAACCCGCACAGCAGACAGGCACCGCTGCGGTCAGAGATGCGCCGAGCAGCCGCTGAGGGGAGGGGACCATACCGATAGTCGGAATCAAGCTCCACCAACTTGTTATATTTCAACCTATTTTCAAAAATGCAGAATTTTTAAATGCACTGGGTTTTACCCTGTTACATTTAAATGTCATGGTTAAATAGTACATGTTAAAATCTAAGCTCAGCTAGCACAAGAGCGGCAGTGACCTAAAATCATCGACATAAATACATAAATATAATTTTACTTACCGAAAAAAGTGAAGTGGAGACTTCTTGGACACTCTATTAGTGCAATTAATACCACAGCAAGTCATTTTGTCCAACAATTGCACAAATAATATCCAAAAAAGAATACACAAATGGCACAACTAATGGTCTAAGTTAAGAGACTGAAAATGGCGGAACAGTTTTCAGGCGAGGCCAAGGCTCAGGCTGAGGCCTTTTCCCGGAGCTAGCTCGGCGGTCACGTGGGTCTGATGCTCATTAATTATTCTGAATTTTAGGCATTTAATACACTTAAACAGAAGAGTGTAGGGCTGCAGCTATCAAATATTTTTGTAATCGAATACTCTATCAAATCTTTTATCGTTTAATCGAGTACGCTAATAAATAACTCTTTTGCGTTTTTAAACCATTATATCAAATAGCATTTATAAAATATGAAAGACCTCTTGAAATGAGAA